TCTGCTCCAGTGGACATGCCTTAGTCTCGCTTCCCTGCTCTATTTATTATTTCTCTATGGCACACATACGCGCGCGCGTGCACGTGCAAGGAGACTCGCGGATACACTGGTACATCCATAAACCGGGACTGGCCTGTCCTGGCACCCTCTGGATGAAGCTTTACACCATTCATTTCTAATTTAACCTCTGCTATTCGGGGTATTAACCGCCATTAGCTCTGTCTCTTTTGCTCCAGAGACTTAGAATAGTCGATTGCACCTATGTAAGGTTCCAACTTTTGCCACCTTACAGGGACCTTACCTATTGACTTTTGGCGGTAGTCGTACGCTTAACACGCCAAATTGCTTACTGTAATTTGACCATGACCACTAGAAACACTAGGACCAACAAAACAGCCAAGCTGTTTCAAAATTACAAACGCGATCGTCAATTGCATGATAGCAGCTCTCACAAGACAAACTCAAGTCACCAACTGCTCGATTGCTAACGCTACTATGTAGAATTCCTATCATCTGAAGAAATACACGATTGAATAGCTATAAAGTCTTATACGCATCTGATTTTAATACAAGGTATGCGCACAGGAATAATTTCATGCCTTAGTAAGTTAGATATAGGTTTATGTATATGTATGTACATGTGCGACATACTATTGAGTTCAAAGTAGCACTTGTGCTTATGGCAAGCTGCAACTGAGCGTATAATACAGAGGTCTATGGATCATAAAGATAAACACGTGATGGTCAATGGCATCTTATATGTCGCTACCTCATGCACTATCTCTCTGTTTCGCTCCTTCCCTCTCTTTCTTTTGCTCTTACTTCTCACCTATAATAGTTCTGTACATGTGAAAACATCACGGGCACACACTAGGCTTAGAGGGGCTTGTCACTGATTCTTCTGTAGCTATTGTCAGTTGATCAAGCATTCATATTTACCAATAATGACAACTTTTACCACTGTGAACGCGGCCGTACTAAAACATCGTAGGGTGGTCATACTACGGCCCCTTATTAATGGTGTAACACTTATGCACCAAAACTTAGTTTCATTGTTTTCCGTCACCAAAACCATGGTTGTGCTTCTTATTAACAACACTTTTTACATTAATGTTAACCAAATTATTAAAAAAAATTATATAGCAGTAAAATTAGTTACCACCAGTGGTTTTACTGCAAAGAGTTGATTCAATTGTAATTTGTAACTATAAAACTGTTAAGCTACGTATTGTCAGCTTTTGCTTGCCAAAGAAGACTTCGAATTATCGTACGCTTCTAACAAGAAGACAAGCTATTTATCGGTGGCACGTTTTCATAAAATACTTAACTAACTCATAGTACATAACAAAAAAGTGGGCTTTTCATTGGCAGCTTGTCCTCGCCATTAATATTGTTAAATTATTTTTTGTAACAAATCCATAGTTTAACTTATCATCAACATTACTTCTGAGCCAGACCTAACGAAACTGAAAGAGGCTAGAGCAGACCAAATCTATTGGACTATATTCTTCATGTCACGTATTATGTTTCATGCTCCAAGTTAGTCAACAACTCTCTAGAACGCTAAAGTCACTAGAAAGATTGCGCGGCGCATTGCTTAACATGCCAGAGTAAAATANTGAGAATTTAAGGAAATTTATTTAGTTCTAATACGTGCTCGTAAGTTTTTTAATTAAATTAATTATTGTTTTTATGCAGAAAATAGCTTACCTTCTAATTACATGCGCTTGTTCTTAGAAAAATAACTTAGTTATTATTTATTATGTTGAAACAGTTAAACCCATCGTCTAGAATTCTTTCTTGCTAAGCATTTATTCATAAAATATTCATTACAACTAAGAAAGTTAATTTGGTCATTACCAGTTCTAACTCACCTTAAAATAAATTCAATTATTACTTTGAGCAATAAAAAAGTTAAGATTTTTTTTACCTGTTCTTGTAACCTGAAAAATTTTAAGTTTATATTTCTATCAAAAAAAGAATCAAGCTTTATATCCTTACAAATTGCTGGCTTAGGCATTTAGTCATTACTTAATAATTATGTAAGAAGTTCTTTTAGGGCAAGTCCTTACATGCTTTAAAAATAAAGAAAATCATTGTTCTAAAATCAAAAACAGTAATGTTTTAAATTTGCCCTTGCTTCACAAAAAGTGAACTTCGTAACTGTTCATACCTCAAACTTTATCCACCATGTGTTTGCTCACCAAAGCAGCTATTTGTTTATTATTTTTTATAAGTGGGAAAATCAATGAATTGGTATTTATAACTGAAAACAGTAAAGTATTTTCTAGCCTGGAGTTGTTATCCAAAGCATACAATTAGTATTTATTTACGATAAAAAGGAGACCTGAACTCCTTATCAGAAGTGCTTATTTGCCAAAGCAATAATTTAACAATTATTGTTAATCAGTTGTAATAAGAAAAAATATTTTATAATTTTAACCAATATTTACATGCTTGTAATTAAAAAAAAGTCATAAATTACTTAAAATGATGCCCATTTGTGTCCTGAAAGAAAGAATCTGGCTCCCGACAAACAGTGTAAGGCCACCTATAAAAGAATGAGGTTGTTTGTTCAACCTGGTATCATTACTAGATCAAAATAAGGGGGAAAGATGCAACGATCCCACCTGGTTATAATGCCAGACAGTAATCGCTGGAAATACGTACATAATATAATTTATATGTATACATGAAAACTTGTCGTAGACAGGGTGTAAGCAAATTTTATTGAAGGGAGAAAACACAAAAAATGGAAAATGCTGTAAATACAAATAATAATTGGAATTTTATCTAAAGAATTAACTGACTGCTAATTTTACTGCTGAAGTTAAGGGGAGATGGCTAATTAAGAGTGAGTCCAAAATAATGTATGGGTGGCTCATCCGTCCGTGTCAGGTGACGGTGGGTCGAGTGGCCGTGAGTAGGAGAGATTCTCAGATGCTGATAATTCAAAGGACTAGTATTACATTTGGGTACGCTGACAAAAGTTGCTTTGAAACTGCCTGAACGATGAGCAGTTGGCAGCTTGTATCCATAAAGAAGAATAGTAGCCTACGTGACAAAAATAAAGCTTCTGGGAACGCAATGCTCAGAAAAAATATTGGATGAAGATAGAGAGCAAAAATAAGAAAAGCTGTACTCATTATATTCCTTGGAACAAGAACGAGTTACACGTGTTGAAGTTTCTCAATGTGGTTGATAAGACATTACTAATAGTAGGCGCGTGTGAGCTACGAGAGCCGGAAGTGAAATATGTACTTAACATATTGACGATGGATGATGTGGTGAACTACCTATCGCACGAGTACAGCTACCCTTGATGCGTTACAAAAGCTATACGGAGGATAACAGTGCGTAGCAGTAGAATGACTACAAACAAAATAAATACAAAATAATGTCAATTCTTAGAACTATTGTTGGTAATTGCTCTTTTTTTTCATGGTGGTTCACAATTATATATAGGTTTCGCAAGAACTAGAAAGTCTTAGCGTTAGTTAAAATATTAGTGTTGGTAAAATAAAATTCTGTCATATGGTTCCAATTTGTTTGTGTTTTAATTTCCCTGAGGGTGAACTACGGCTTAAAAGAACTGTTTACTAGTGGATGTAGTGCCATTATTTAAGAGAGTAATTGGAAAGGAGGGGATATGGCTGGGTACGACTTTGGGACCGTTGTAGAAGAGTTGATAAGAAAAATCCTTTAAATTTCTAGACTGATTGGAGATAAGCATGGGTGGGGTAAAGAAATAGTTAAAACTGTAAAAGAAGAATCTCATGAATCAGAAAAGAGGAAAAGAAAGCGTGGACATAAGAAAGTTTTTTTTTAATACAGAAAAAAGAGTTTGGCTTCTTATTATCGACGATTGCTCACTTAAGAATAAGTTAAGGCTTTAATTAAAATAATTTATTTTTTTGTAACTACTTAAAAAACAGTTAAAGTTCTTTTTATTTTTTTTTTGTTTCCCGAAAAAAATTAGGTTTAATATTTTTCTTTATTATTAAGTCGAGCTTTTAATTCACGGCACTGGCTTTCCCAAGCAATGTTACAATAAATATTCCTTATTATTTGTTATCTATAAATGTGAAGATGAGCATCTGTGTATAATTATTTTTTACGCATTTCAAGACTACTGGACTGATTAGTTTACAAAGAGATTTAAGCCCCTGACATTATGTACAAAAGCTGAGGCCCTTAGACACTCGGCCACGAGTGGTCTCGATAGTACAAATTTCATTCCTGAATGTTATGTTGTTGTTTACAACAACAACCCATGTGTCATTTCTTATTTACTGTATATTCATTTATTTTGTTTAGTTGTTAGTTAAATTATTAAACAAATTATTTAATAGAATAATTCTTTTTGTTGAATGTTTTCTCAGATAACTTAGGAATTAGTATATTCCAGAAAAGCAACTTTTCTATCTGTTAAATAATATTAATTTTCTTACCATATGTTTGTTGCTATTACAATCAATAAATAGTTGTTTATACAATTTTTTAATATTTTTTCAAAATTTTTAAAAATTGAAAAACATATTTTTGTACTGTAGAAGTACAATAATCGATTTTTATTGTATATTATTCTTTTACAATTTTTCCATTGCTAATAAAATATTCTTTACGTAGTTACCGGGGTTAGAATTCGGCAGGAGCTCTGGCTCATTCGCGACCCATTTCTTGAGAGGGAATCCTTCAGCTCTCAGCATGCCGATCAGCTGATCGCGACGGAGTCGCGCAGTCTGCACGTCTTCAGCACCTGAGAGGACGTTGTCGACATAGCGATCGCTCTTGACAATCGGGTTGGCTTCGAGCCACGCGTGACCTTCGTCTTCGCAAAGCTGCAGAATCGTGCGCAGAGAGAGATGAGGAGCACTGGCTCCGCCGTAAGTCACGGTAAGCAGCTGAAAATGCTTTGGTGGGCTTGACTCGTCCATGCTCCATAGAATCCGTTGGAGATCCACGTCACGTTCATCGACAAGTATTTGCCGAAACATCATCTAGATGTCCGCGCAAAAAGCAATTCGGTGCCTTCTCCAACGCAGTAAAACGCTTGGCAGGCAGGTTTGAAGCTTCGGTCCAGCATGCAATGCGTCGTTGAGACTGTAGCCCGTTGAAGTCGGTCGTGATGCATTGAAGACAATGCGTAGTCTTCTTCGTTGGTCGCCGGCTTGCCAGATGCCGTGATACGAGATGTAGTGCACTGGCCCGGGGGACGCACACAGCTCGGCGTCGGTCAGCGGCCGCATTTGCCCACAGCGAAGATACTCGTCCACGAAGAGAACGTACTCAGCAGCCATCTCGGATTCGCGTTGCAGTCTGCGCTGTGAAGATCGGAGGGACGCCCTCACACTGGGCAAACTCTCTCCGAGCAGCTCGGTTCCGCTGCGCTTCAGTGGAAGGCGGACGATGTAGCGTCTGTCAGCAGCTCGGCGATGATGAGCAAAAAATGTCTCGCACTCGGCGTCGTCGGGTGACTGACGGACTACTCGGGGTACGTCTTCAAGGTCCGAAAACCGCTGCGTCAACGCTACCAACTGTTCATGCCAGGGTGGGGTGCCAGCATCTTGCGTCATAAGGCAAGTGGCGATCGGGGGGAGATGGGATGACACGACACCCAACCGGTCAAAGTTCAGCCCGCGACAGTGAGCTGCCCGATGAGATTTCCCTGGAGCAGGAGCCCTGGCTGTAGCAGATGAGACTACACGTCGGCGCTGAGAAGTATGTCCACATCACCCGGTGTCTCAAAGTGTGGGTCCGAGAGGTCTGGTAGGTCTCGCCACAAGTCTATGACCGCTGGGGGCAGCGGTGCCAAAGGAGTGAAGAGTCCTAATCAAGGTAGGCAGTGTGCAGACAGCTGCAACGCCCATGCCGAGTTCTGGGTTTGCACCTGTAGCTGTGCGATCATTGGTGAGCGCGTGACGCCGACTCCGCCGACGCCCGACATGGTAGTGGCAGTTGGCTCGAGACGAGCACCAAGCTTTCGAGCGAGTCCGGTGGATATGATTAAGATTTCCGAGCAGGCGTCGACGAGCGCCCTGACGGTGATTGTCCGCTCTCGGGTCCCCTTCAGCTGGACCATGATCGTTGGAAGAACGGCTAGTCATAGCTGCGAGTCGACCGCCAGGTCAAAGCTCTCCTTGGAATCTGTGGTGAGTCGTGCTCGCTGGGTCTGAGCACTTGTTGACTCAGGGTCGGCCTTGCGTTTACGGCTGCCGTCGTGAATCAAGCTATGATGTCTCGCACTGCAGTGCTGACATACACCTTGGGATGGGCAAGAGTGAGCGATGTAGCCTGACCTCAAGCAGTTGAAGCACAGCTTCGATTGAGCAACGAGAGCCCGGCGTGCTGTCTCATCCAGCTGAAGAAAACGACTGCAGCGGCCGATGTAGTGAGGAGCATGGCAAGCAGAGCAGTCATCTTCGGCCGCCTGTGTGGCGAGAGTCCTGTGGTTGCAGTCGATCGGTGCTGGCCCGGCAGGGCGGCCACTCGTTGAACGTGAGCTGAATGAATCGCTCACTGAGCGTAGGCTGCGCAAGGCCTCTACTGAGGTTAGAGAGCGGCCACGCCTCCGCAGAAAGCTGGACAGGTTGGCGAATGTGGCTACTTCTCTAGGAGCCAAGGCAGCTGCATCCAGCTTCTCAAGCTCGTCCTCCCAGGCCCTCCAAGTCGATGGGTTCATGGTGGTGGAGGCAAATGAGATCATCCACACGTCCCACTGTTCCACGGGCTGCTTCAGCGCTTTTAGCTGGTCACGGTGCTTCTCCAGGGTATTGAGCAGGCCCTGCAAACCAGCAGTGGACTCTTCTCTTAGAGTCTTGAGCGTCCTGAGTGGCGTGATGTGATCCTGCACGAGGAGGTGGTGGTGCTCGAACCGCGAAGTGAGGAGGCTTCAGGCGGTCGAATAGTTGGAGCCGACGAGCTGCAATGTATCCAACACTGCCTATGCCTCACCTTGTACGTGCGACTTTAAATAATAAAGTCTCTCGACATCGGTGAGACGAGCATCTTGGTAGATGAGTGCTTGAAACAGGTCGCGAAATGACTGCCAATCTTCGTGATGACCAGAAAAAATCGGGATGTTGATGCTTGGCAGACAAGGGCTGGCGTGAGGCCCAAGAAGAAGAGGTGGTCCACCGGGTCCAGGAAGAGGAGTCAGCCCACTCTTGGCGTCATAAAGGCACGCCTCAGCGCTGAGGTAGTGTCCCTCTCCAGATGAGTACACGACTCTGAGGGAGGCAATTTTGTCTTCAGGTGCGCCCGGAATCAAGTCGCAATGATTAGCTTAGAAGTCATTCCAGTAGCTATTGAGCAACTCTGCCCTAGCGTCGACGAGCTCCATGCTCCAGGATTCGATGCCCCTGGCTGATTGAGTAAACTGATCCAAAACATCGAGAAAAGCATGCTGCGTCGCAAGCAGATCAGACCAGCCTTGAAGTGCCCTGCAAATTAAAAGCACAATGAGCTAGATGCTTGCCGCTTCAAGCGGAACCTTGTCACCAGCGATGAATTAACTATTCGTGCACGCCGTGAAGAGTTTAAGACCTGAGAGAGGAAGAAGGGCTGGCGTGGGCCTGGCAATCAGCTAAAGGTTGAACGTGAGGCAGCGTGTGATCTGCAACACGTTCACTTCATGACAACTTCTCGAGCTACGTGATCGCAATCACACGCGAGGCCCGCGACGTAGACTGCGCGGCAGTTGCGGCGGAATCTAGTCATCTCTCACCTTTGCGACAGCTTCTCGAGCTGTATCATCGCGATAACATGCGAGGACCACGAGGCAGACTGCACGGCAGTTGCGGCGGATTTCTGGGCGTCTCTCACCCTTCCATCGCGTGGAGGTTCACCTAACCTCGATCTCTTATCTGTCTAAATGCATCGCGTGCACCCGAGGCCCAATGTCTCGATGCGTTTGAAACGCAGAGAGTCTCAGAAATCATGGTTTTACTTTCATTTCTGGGAATAGCCAGCTATTCTAGCTGCTCCGAATCCTGCTCGAAGGACCAATGTTTAATTCAACTCCTTTATTCACTTCGAAAAAGCACAAAAAACCTAAGAGAGAGGCACACGGATTATATAGAATACATATATATATATATGTATACA